ACCATACTTGTTCCTACATTGCCCCCAGCCAATAAGGCTAAACCCTTACTCAGAGTCCTTGTACATGAACAAGCTACATGTACATTAACAACAAAGAGACATGATATTTAATTAACCAAATATTTATTGAACACCTACTGCGTACAGAGCTGAGATATGTAGCAAGACCAATGATCTATGTACACAGAGCAATTGGCTTCATATTGGAGCTTTGTACCTAGACTGTGAAAGTCACGGCTACCATTTTATTTCTAGTTTGAATTTGAGCCAGTAAAAATTGGCCCTGAACAGGACAGAAGAATCCCACGTGTAGGTACAATGACTGGATGAAATTGATAAGGGAAAAACATGAGCCCACGTTCAGCTTCCATTGGACATAACTGGTTCAGGGCATTTCAAAATGGGTTTTTTTTAAAAAGAAAGAATGGAATGACTGAGTAGTAGGGGTTAGAGGAGAAAACTACTGACTGTGTGAACTAGAAGGGAATTTTAAAAACCATCCCAGGAGAAGTCTGAAAGTATCAAATGAGAGGCCCATAACTCTCCTGGATCTGGGGATTTCCCCCCATGCTTTTGTACAACTATGTGGAAATTACAAGTTGTATTTTTTCATAGCTGGAAGCAAGATGAAATATGCCATTTTGTGCAGATCATCTGTGAAATGCTTAAAATGATGATGACAAAATGAAAAGGTTGCTCTGGGACAGCAATCCTAAGTTACAATTAAGTGTAGACCTTATTAAGTATACATGCAGTAGGTCTCCATACAGTCTAAATGAACATCCCATTGCCTATAAATAGAATACATATTTCTTAACACAAGAACATCCTTTTGTTTGCGTTTGCTGGGAAATACAGATTTTAAATTTCTGGCCTATTGCCTCTGACTTATGCCTCCTTTTCACCCCCACCATTCCCCTACCTGTCAACTCTTCGACACCAGTTCTGAAGTAGAAGGAGAATTTGAATCTAGACACAGGACACAAGACACATGGGGGAAGTCAAAGGAATACAATTAAGTGGAGCCATAGTTGGGGCGGGGGGACTCTACTTTCCCTTTACAAATTGTCCAATGAAAGCTGAGAGTTCAAGTAAAGGGGAATAAGCCTCATTACCTTGGGACCTCTACATACTTTTTGGTTCTTACTCAAATTTCAGGCTTTTAGATTGAATTTAATGGAGTATGAGAGTTTATTTATAATGAATTGATAATTTTTATAATCCATTGGCGGTGTTGACATTAGAGATGGATAATACCATTATCAGTTTATATTGTTGCTAGAAATAAGGAATATTTTTTCACTGCTATAATTATCTTGCCTAATTCTTTGAGCCAGATTTCAGTCATCTGAACTAAAGTTTCCTGTGTAAGCTTTTAAATTTTAAATAAAAACAAATACTGAAGGAAGCAGGCAGAACCTTGATTCTAATATCTCCAAGTCAAGATGTTGATTTGCTAATCATCAAAAAAATTGTATAAACACATTATTTACACATAGTGCTATGGTTAGTTATTCAGATATTGTAGACTAGTAGGGGAAATATGGAAGAAATATGCATATGTGCAAGAATATGCACACTTTGGATGACAACTTGGACATAGGAGCCATGGATGTTTTCAACATTTTGAAGCATCTTATGGAATTTTTCAAATTTTCTTTTACTTGTCTCCCATCCTTTTGTGTTTGTTTAGAGACTGGTGGTCATAGTGGGTAGTCAGAAATCTCAGAACCCTGTCTTTTGGAAATACTTGTTATATGACGCTTAAATTTTACATCTAAAATCACAGTAGGGTTTAGATACTAGCAAACTCAGACTTCCTAGCTGAAGCCAAGACTATTTATTCTTTATTTGCCTTTTGTCTGTAACAATCTCCTGGGGGGTTTTTCTGTGTGTGGTGTTTATATTTGCTTCTTTGCTGGTGGGAAAACTTTAGACTCCAGCATTCCTATTTCCTTGATTGAGATGACAGATTCAGTAGGCTGTGTGTGTGTGATGTGTTTGTGTTATTTTGAAAGAAATATTCTCATGTGGATGTATACTAGGTTATAGTAAAAATGGAACTATTCCAATGTGGTGTGGTGTGGTGTGGTAGGTGGCATTTTGGAAACTCAGATGCAGGTTGAAGTAAAAGACCAGTAGAATAATGACCATCACTTGCCATCACCATTTCCCCATCATCGCTTTTGTCCCAAGTTCATTTTAACAAGTTAACTTAAAGTTGTCTGTGATTACAATTTTTAAAATCTTATGCCTAGAGTTTAGAAGGTAGAAATATGCATGTTTGCCTTTGTGTAAAATATCTGCAGTGTAAAGTTTCATAATTTACTTTCTAAAAAAAAATCACTGTATTTCAATAAGAAATTAAAGCCAGCAATTCTTAAAAACAAACAAACAAACAAAAAAAACAACAACAAAAAGAAAAAAACCTCACCGGTTAAGGAGGGGCAACTGGTGAGCCTGTGTACCAAGGAAGGGCCCCCAGAGTTCAGGTGGGGGAGAGCTGAGAGGACCCATGGGGCTAAAGGAAATGGCTATGGTTCCCATACCCTGGGTTATCTGATCCACTTGACCCCCCATGACTCTTCACTAAGGAGTTGGGGGGTGGGCTGGGGCTTAGCTAAGAAACAGAAGCTGCATCTACAGAACCAAAGGCAAGAATCCCTTTTGGAAAGAGATCATTGTGATTTTATATGACACATTATGAAAAGGATCAGTTTCTATCTACAGAGCTCCATATTTCCATGAATTACAGTATCCATCAATTCCAGGGACACACAGAAATCACAGCAGATGACCACCCCAGGACTTTAGAGTGATTCAGGAAATGGAGACCCGGCAGCTCCATGTGGAGAGGGCAAGGGCATGTGTTCAGCAGAGAAGAGTCGTGTTCAGGGAGAAGAGCAATGGGGAGTGAAAAAATGTTCCCACCAGAGTGGATATAGAACAGAAGATGGGGAGAGAGGTTGGGGCTCGGTAATCATCAACAGAATCATGCTGGGAAGAGTCTGTGATCCCTTGAAGACTTGACATAGGCCCTCCAAAGAATTTCGCAGGCCATGGAGTCCCAACAACCCCTGGCCAAGGAGAAGGAGCCAGCCCATCTCACTTCTGAAGAGCTCTCACCGTCGGGGCCTTGTTCTCTGCATCAAGCCTTCAGCCTGCCATTTCAAATAAACATCATTCCTCTCGTGCCCAGCAGAAGTCTTCGTGCGGTTCAAAGCTCCAATGAGCTTTTGGGATGCATGGTCTAAACTCATCTACATGCTAGCCCTCTGGATCCCTGACAAAAGCTCTTGTGGTCCTCGAGTCTTCACTCCTCCAGGCTGGCCTTCATGCACTTCGAGCCACGCGCATGTGATGACTTCTCCAGTCCTCACACTATTCTGGACACACTTCTGAATGTCTCCCCTGCTACGTGGTACCCAGAACTGAACTGGCCTGACTATGCAGTCACAGTGGAGTTGTTTACTCACACTTACCTTTTCCACTGCCCTGTCATACTGTTGACCCCTAGCGGTCTTTCAGTTCACTAAAACTCCTAGATATTTTTTACAGAAACTTCTTCTATCCTTGTTAGTGAAGTGGATTTTCTGAACCCAAGTATAAGATTCTATTTATATCTATCCTTCTGAATTTCATCTTATTTAATTCTTCCCACCATTCCATTCTGTCAAGACCTTTTTGACTACGTCAGAGGTGGGGAATCTGCGGCCTTAAGGCCATATGTGGCCCTCTAGGTCCTCAAATGCAGCCCTTAGATTGAATCCAAACTTCACAGAACAAATCCTCTTAACAAAAGGATTTGTTCTGTAGAGCTTGGACTCAAGTCAAAAGGCCGCACTCAAGGACCTAGAAGGCCACATGTGGCCTTGCACCTGCTGCTCCCCTACCCCTGGATTTTATCATCCAATGTGTAAATTACCCCCTCCAAACTCTGCCATCACCTGAAAAATTGAAAGTCATGCTATGTTTTGCCTCTGTAGGATCACAGATTTAGAGGTTAAATGACTTGCCCAAGGTCACACAGATATATAACGGAGCAGCCTCCTAAGTCATTACTGTTGAACAGCATGTTCAGATTCAAGGACAGATCCTTGAGGTGCTCAGCAAAGAGCACTCACTGCTGACTTCTTTGGGGTCTGTGTAGTCACCAGTGGGATCTCGGGATCAGAGAATACTGCCATTTTAGTCACTCTCTTCACATAATTACAAGGTGCTTTCCATAACGTTTAGACCAACTGAGAGTTTCACCAATGTTGTACTAGTGCGCTCCTCTTTTCACAACACGGACTATCCTCATCTTTCCTCATCTCTACCAATGTGCCAGATGCCAGCTGAAACTTGAGGGTGGTTCTGATATGCATTCCTTTTGTTATTGGTGATTTGGAGCATTCTTTCACATAATAGTTAATGGTTGGCAATATTTTTATTCATACATCTTGATTACTTATCCATTGGTGAACGGCTCTTGGTCCAGTATATCTGTGTTAGTTCCCTCTGTACTTTGGATATCAGAGCCTTAACAAAGATATTTGATGAATAGAATCTTTCCCAATCAACTACTTCATTGTATTTATATTAATTTATATACAATTATATATAAAATAATTGTATTATATATTATATCCTAATTTATATCTAATTATATTCATCTTGTTCATGTAAAAGCTTTGCTATTGCATGTGATCAGAATCATCCGTTTTATCTTGTGATGGTCTCTGCCCTTTGGTGGTTGAAAACTCTCCCCCCGCCATATCTATAAACGGTCCCTCACTTGTGGTTGTCTTAATTCATGGGGTTTCTTTAAGGACTCTTCTAGAAGCCTCCCCCCACCCCAGCCCCACACTCCTGGTACACTTCCTCTGTCCACAGAGCAAGCAATAGGCTTCTGCTGCCCCCCCCCCACAAATAGGATTATCTTCATGATGAGCTGAGATTTACTGAATTTCCTTCACTTGGTAACAATCTCTTTTTTTAATTCTTTCATCTTATTTTAGGGCGAACCTGATTCAAAAGGAGTAGAAAAGGGAAAAGAGGTAAAAACTGCCTGAATGTTTTGATCAATGTATTGTCTGTCTGTATTTCTCATTTACTGATGTCTGTCTGAGCTGGGCTTAAATTCGGAGACTTTCAGCCCTTTCTCAATGCAGAAGTATTGCAAAGAACACTGGATTCGGGGTCAGAGGACCTGGTTACACAGGATTCTAGATCTAGAGTTAAAAGAGACCTCAACGTCCGAGGCCAGCTAGCCCACCCCACCCCCATTTTATAGATGAGGAGACTGAGGCCATGCCAGGTCAGGTGACTTGCCCACGGCCACACAGGTAACAAGGACAGAGTCAGTATTCAGACACTAGCCTTGTGGCTCCTCTTGCCACTCTGCCCTCTTGCCTCCTGTCATGGCTGGGATACTTAGTACTGTTTGACCGGGCAAGGCACCTTCCTGCACCAAGCCCCTGCTGCCTTATCCCTCTCAGAGGGGACCGCAGTAAAGGACCTCTCATGTCCCTTTCACCTCTAGATCCTAAGATCCTAGGAAATACAGAATGCTGCCTGTGTCGGCAACATGTGAAGTGCTGTGGCAGACGTGACAGAAACATGAGGCCTGCTCTCTGTCCTCAGGGAGCTTCCAATCCTGTCAAGGAGACAAGACGCACACACACACGCACACACATACGCACACACCCCACATCTAGTCAGAGGATTGCAGAATGCTGGAACTTGGAAGTCATTGGGTAACACCCCCCTCACATTATGGATGAGAAGACCAAGGTTCAGAGAGAAGTGACCTGGCAAAAACAGCTTGGAGCAGGGGCAGGGGGGCTGGATTGAGAGTGCAAGGACAAGAATTCGAGTCCCAGCTCCGCCACTCGCTGCCTGCAAGTCACTTAGCTGTTCTGGTCCTCAGTTTCCTCATGTGTAAAATGACTAGACAACCCTATGGCTCCCCCGTTCGGTGCTAAACCCCAGTGCACGGATGAACTCTGCCAACATCTGGCGCTTTCCTGACCAACACCTGGCCTGTCCCCACTGCCCCCAGACCTCTCCAAGGCCAGCCACAACTTCAGTGGCCCAGCTTTTTGCCTCTGCTCCTCACCCATATCAGACAGACCTCCTGAGGTGCGTGCTTACTTGTTCCCATAGAGTGAGGGGGTACAACAGCTTCGAGAAGCCCTGAAGATCTTAGCCGAGAGGGTGCTGATTCTGGAGCACATGATCGGAATCCACGGTGAGTGTCCAGAGGCCTGTGCTAGGTGGATTCTGGAAGGACAGCCCCCAGGATGGGGGTGGGGGTGGGAGGGGAGCGGAAGCCCAGCTACCCAGAGGCCAAGTTTACTGACCCCATTCCCGCCTTGAGGGATGGGCCCTGTGGAGTTGGTGGCCCTGCTTCCTTCTCTTGTGGAATCCCTCAAAGGATCCCTGCCCGTCCACCTGCCCACTTACCTTTCTCCTAGAGAAACAACTGGGGGTTTCCTAAGTCGCCCAAACCTAACATGAGCTACTCTATTAGAAGCTAGTTTGGGACAAAAGGGGAAAGGCCTGGAGGACCCGAGATCCCCAGTCACATCTATCTCCTGCTCCCAATGGCCTTCTGAGCCCCATACCACACCCCTGGGACTGCTGCCTTAGAGCGCTCTCCCAGAGGAGGAGGCCCCCCTCTAGGCTGTGCTGCCCCAGACTGCTCTCAGTGCCCTCCTCATTGCACAGAGACTGCCTCCACACAGCGTAGGTGCCGTCTTTCCTTTCAGACCCGCTGTCTTCCACTGAACCAGGCTCTGGACAAGGTGGAGCACCAGGCCCTGCCTTACAAAGCAACAAGATGAAGCGAGGGGGCCCCCTGGCCCCACCCCAGCCGTACGACACCATCTCTTCCTTGCTGGACAACATCGAACCCAGAAGGAACAGTAATGACAGCAGCAGCCTGAAATAGGAGCCTGTCATTCCCTAGCACATACCTGTGCCCCGATTAAAGATACAGTATCTCTCTGTGGACAAAAATGCTCACTGGGTGTTGTGGGGCCGGGCTCTGGCCCGCCAACAGAGGTCATCTTCTCCCCCTCTCCCGCCTAGGGCTGGCAGGAGGTTACTCCTGAGGGATTCCATAAGGGTGTGCTGACAGCCTCGTCACTGGTCTTTCCCAGGCGGGGGCACTATGGGCAGAGCGGCTTCCCCAGAGTCCCACTAAAATGGGGTTTCCCCGGTGGTCCGGCTCTCTCTCAGTGCCTTTTGAGCAAACCAAGCAGGCAAAACTAGAAGCCTGCTCACAGCAGCTTAGAATAGGAGCCTGGAGCCCTTTCTGGAAAGGCCTGACCTGTCTCCAGTGCCCCCACTCCCCAGCCTAAGGCTTCCTCTGCCCTCAGCACACCCGGGACCAACCCTAGACCCACTCCCCAGAAGAAACGTTCATTCTTATAGCTCTGCTACCCCTTTTGTCCTCAATGCCATGCTCTCTTTTGTCACCCCAAGTGAAAGAGGAAAACAGAATGAAACATTATGTGCCCGTGTTCTGTGAACAGCCAGAGGGATACAGATGCTCATGTGACCCATCAAGCAAGCGAGTATTTATTAAGCACCTCGCGTGTGCAAGGCCCTGTGCCTCCGCCCCCTGCATTAGCTCTCCCACTTTGACTCAGAGTCGCACTAACCGCAGCAAGGCCAGAAGTCAGATCATGGTGAAAACAGGCGCTGAGCTGGGTTGGGTGGGCGCTCCTGGTGCTTTCCCAGTAATCCGATTTCTTCTCTTCCAATGTGACATCTCAAAGAACAAACAGGCCTCCCCTAAGTTCATCTCTGTGCCCAACAAAGCCTGTCTAGAAGCCCATCATGCAGGAGATCAACACCTTGGAGAAGCAAGCTCCCAAAACAAAACAGTCTCCCTGGAGACGGTCCACCAGAAGTTGTGGGGAAGGGGCAGCAGTAACTGAAAGGACATAACCAGCCCATCAGCAGCGCCCACCACTTGGTGCCCCTTTGACCGTGACCAGTTCCCTTTTAAAGACTCCATCTCCACTCCCAAACTGGGACGACCGCTTGTTTCTGAGGTTTGGTGGTTGGGTTCTTCCCTCAGGCCTCCAGAGGGGAGAGGCCCAGCTCGTTGAATCTAACTGATCTAACAGCTGGGTCTAAAACATTGCCTCCCAGCTGAAGTCACTCATCGGACCACTTTCTAATCAGAAAGATGTTACCACCCATGTGACTTCAGTTCCCTGCCAGCCAACCAACAAAGGAAGCTGGGAGTCCTGAGACAGGATGAAAGGTGAGTGGAGGACAGAAATTGGAACCAGCTTACTTACTCCCTGAATACTATGCTTAATTCATTTCAGCCTACTAAGATAGTTAAACTGGTCAAGTTCTGTGAGTGAGCAAAATCCCATGCCCCAAATCCCCAAATCAGAGCTCATCAGGGTGGCTGGGGTGGGCAGAAAGAGGACGAAGCAGTAGCTCCAGAGCCGGCCCTGCCAGCCCAAAGGGCATCGTCACCATCTTCAACTAACTCTGTCTTGCCAAGCTGTGAAGAGGTTGCTTAATCCCAAACACAGCATTTCCTACTTCAACAATTTCCTACTTGTATGGTACTGTATCTTTAATTTTGGTGCTATTAGAAACTAAATTTTGGTGGGCCTTCTCTGGACCTACCCAATCACCAGCCCTTAGGATAATAATCTCTCCACCCAAAGTAACTTTCCTAGTCCAAATAGAACTTTCAAGAACTTGTGTCTTATCTTACAAAGTCCCATGGACAGTGACTAACAGCAGGTACGCCAAATCTGCCTCTTTGCTTTAGGCAGCTAAATGAGATCCCTGTTGGCTGGACCTTTAATTGGGGTTCACTGCATTTCCATGGGGGTTCATTTAAAGGTCTTTTTCCATCTCTCCAATGTCACATCACCATGCTGGTGCCTTCTGCAGCTTTTTGGATTTTCTAAGATCACCAGCATCCCCTCTCCCTTCCCTTTAAATGACTTTTCAGTTTGGTTTATCTCACTGAGGGAAAAATGGAAAAAAAGAAAAAACTCTTTTCTTTGCATCAAGCTTAGAAGTGAGCTGATTCCATGCTGGGCTTCCTTCCGGTGCTAGGCTCCAGTAATGGAATTCTCAAATCCTGGTGAGACTGAAATTAAGTGTGGAACACTTAGGGAAAAGTTATCACAATGGCGTCTTCAGAGAAAAAGCCAACTCCATCCCGGATGTATTTCCCAATGGATCAGGGAAGACGGCTGGCTTTACTGGATGGAAATTCTAGTCCAGAATGATTCTCCTTGTTCCAACAGCATTCCATGATGCTGATTTTATAGGCTAGAAGAACCACCTCCTGGTTTCTATGATTATGGTGAAGTTAATTAATCACAAGTCCTATACAAGTCCATGGAGCACATTTCTAAGCATTGAAGAAAATGCTGGTATTACGGTTCAGTGCTAATTTTTAGACTCTCTCTTATTTATGTTGGTGTGTTATGTATGCATAAGTGTCCCTGCTTTCTGAATTTTACTATATGCTCTAACCCTTTCATCTACACATTGCAATTCTGTGCAGGCTCTCAAAGGAAAACACTAGCTGGCTTCTGTTTTTTGTTTTATTAACTCACTTTAACTTGGTTAAAATTGGCCGCGTGGCAGAAGAGTGGCAGCGTGGCCAGGCCACCAGTGGATGGCGACTTGGTTTCCCTATGGTGTTATGATTCATGTTATTGATTTCTCTCTCTTTGCTTTGGTGTTGTTGGGTTGTAGGGGACATCTTGTACTTGGCATTCTTACAGAGCGGTGGGACCACCAGTGCCAAGCCCACTGAGGTCCAAGGTCTTTCATGTAATGAACTGAGAAATAAATACATTGAACGTGACAAAACTTGTCTCTGGTGGCCAAAGCCAAGATGTTGTTCCTGATTTCTTGCCTTCATTCCCTCCCCTCTCAAACCCTGACAGTGACAGGGAGGGCCTTGAGCACAGCTCCCTCTTCCCAATCCCCAGAAAATAACAAAGTGACCCTGGGAAGGGAGATCAGCTGCTGCTGTTCTGTGGTTTTGAACAGAGGCCTGTGACTAGATGTCACCACCAGCTCACAGAAAAGTCAGGCAAAGTGTACTCCGACGAAGACCCAAGATTTTTCCTCTTTCTCCTTGCCCCTAGTTGGAAGCCCTCCAGCTCTTCCTCCAAATTCTCCCCTGCCAGGGCTACACCCATCCCTATGTACTCTGCAGAGCCAGAGTGAGGAGGAGTGGGGGCCAAACCACCTAGTACATGTCCTAGTACTGCCTTGATCCTGGGAGCTCACTTTGTCTCAAAGTCAGGGTCCTGGGGGCCTCTGGGTTGACACTAGGGACATAGAGGTATGGAAAAAGGCAAGGGAGGGGGACAAGAACAAAAAGAAAAACAGACAAAGGGCAGGACAGATAAGGAGAAAGGATGACACAAATACATAGGGAAAAAATCAAGCCTATATTAAAAACCCTGCCAGGCCCCAGGGGCACAGAAAAGTGGAGGAGACAGTCCCTAGCCTTAAGAAGCTTACCTTCTTCCTTGGGGATCCAACATGTCGGAGATGAAAACAGAGTGCATTACTGCCAGTGCCAAAGGAGAGAGATGGGAAATGGAGTGCTGTGGCACTGAGAGATGACGATGAGGACATGAAGGGGAGGAATGTCTGCATTTCTCCAGACAGAGGAGTTTCTACTTGCTCCTAGAGGCCATGGAGTATGACTAGAGGAGTGATGGAGTCAGACAGCAGCCATGCAGAGGACGGACTGAAGAGGAGAGAATCTGCAGCAGTCCAGGCAAGGTAACAAGAGCCTGAGCTAAGGCGGCAGCTGCCCAAGACGGCCGATGTGCCCTGGCAACTGCTCAGCTGTCTGGGGTGGGTGGGAGTGAAGAAGCAAGGCTGACACCATGCTGGCAAAGGATGAGTGGAAGGTCAGGGAGGTTTGGAAGAGGGGTGGCCTGGGAGGAAAGGACACAGTGAGTGTTTTGGGCATGCTCAATGTGACGTGTCTCCAGGACGTCCAACAGGTAGTCCGTGATGTGGTAGTGGAGCTCAGGCAGAGGTGGGGGCTGCGAAAAGATGAATAATTAAATTGCTAAGAGTAGAAGAATGTATAAAGAGAAAAGAAAGGGAGCCAGAGCAGGGCCTTGGGTTATCCCCACCGTTGGGGAGCAAGAAAGGGCAGGGAGAAAGAGGGGTCAATAAGGTAAGAAGAGAAATAAGGGAGTTGCCATGAAATCCTGGAGAAAGTGTCCAGGAGGAGACGGATGTCTGGTGTCAAGTGCTGTGTGAGGATTGAGCAAAGACCCTCAGGCTTGGCCCTTGAGAGATCAGCAATGTCAGTGGAAGGAAGAAGTCCCAAGCCAAGGAGCAAAGAGCTAAGAAATGGGTGAGAGGAGAGGACGTGGAGGCAACGAGTACAGACAGAAAGGGAAGAGAGCTAGCTGTAAGATAAGGGAGGCTTTCCAATGTTGGCAGGCAACAAAGAAGGAAGTACCAGAGACCAGCCGGTGGTTAGAGTGCCGTGGTTACTTGTGTCTCTGAGGATCGTGTAGGGTTCTGAATCACTCGACACAAGATGCCAGATTTGGGGACGAAGGAATGGAGTAGACTTTCCACTTTAAAAATTAAACCTGGAATTTGGGAGGTGATGGAGGGTTACTGGACCAATCCAAGGAAGGGTGGTGAGAGGGGTCAGTCCAAGAGTGGAATATATTTGTGGTGGATTTTCAAATAGTATGCAGTAAATACAAGCTCTTTTTCAGGTGCAAAGTTGAGAAGTTGGTGGGGCTGGACCTGAGCTGTCCGGTCCTGAAACAATATTCTAGAGCAGGGTTAAGTGTTTAAACGTGGAAAACGGGTACGATGGCATATGGCTAGGGAAGAGATATGACAAATCTCTATTTATTCTATAACAAATTGTAATATTAGACCATGAGCATGAAGGGATTTTCTCCAAAGGTTGGCAGCTGATGAGTAAGAAACAATAATCTTACTCCTTGAGGAAGCATTACGTAGAATACAAGGGACTTATATTAACCCCAAAGCTGGCTGTCTACAACTTGATAAAAATGTTAGAACTGCGAGGGACCTCAGAGGGCATGTAGTCCAAACAGATTAAGTGACCAACCTAAGGCCATAAGGGCAGTAAGTGGCAAAGCCAGAGCTTGATCCTCGGTCCTCCGATGACCTTTCCACTCCACCACATTCCCAGAGGGAGGGGACCTGGTCCTTTGGAGGCTGCATAGATTTGAGGTGGCAGGTCACTAAAAACAGGATCAGATATAGAAGTAGCACAGACTGAAGAGGTCGCTGAGTCCACACCCCACATTTTACAGATAAACTGAGTCCTAGAGAGGCTGTGAATTGTCTGTGATCACATAGGTAGTAAAGGACAGGCCAGGTATCTGACTCCAGATCTAGCTTTCCATTTTAGCATGATGTTTCACTGTCTTTTTTTTTCACTTTTTATTAATTTTGAACTTAGAGACCAAAAAAAGAACATTTCCATGTACATAAAAGGATTCAATATAAATCCACGAATTTCATTTCAGTTTATTTTTTAAAAAAACTATGAACATAAGTACTACACATCATTTTCAAAGCTACCTGCTTTTCTGTGCTCCCTTCTAAGTTTTCTTTTGTTCTCTGCTGTGCACTTTTCTTCCCCTCCCTCCCCACAACACCCTTGAAAAGGCTGTCATTGGGGGTGTGTGTGTGTGAGAAACCATATCATCCATGCTTCTGTTTATCAGTTCTTTCTCTGGAGGTGAACAGCATCTTCCTTCATAGGTCCCCAGTAGTTGATTTGAGTATTTATAATACTCAAAATGACTTTGTCATTCAAAGTTGTTCTTAGAATGTTCCTCTTCGTTCTGCTCACTCCCTACGTCTCACTGTTTTTGTGGCCTGATTTCGGGAGCATGAGAACTGAGAGGTTTCATGCTGAGTGTATAAGAGCAAACAACTAACATTAATATAGCATTTGCTATGTGCCAGGCACTGTGCTAAGTGCTATAAACTTATTATTCAGTTGATCCTTACAACAGCTCTGGGAAGAAGGTGCTATTATTATCCCCATTTTACAAAGGAGGAAATTGAGGCAAATGGCAGTTAAATGACTTGTCCAGGGCCATACAGCTGGTAAAGATCTGAGGCCACATCTGAACTCAGCATTTCCTGGCCTCCAGCCCAGCACTCTATCCACTGCACCACCCAGCTGACATAAACCCAAACTCAAAAATTAACCTGGCTCCTGGGCCTGGGGGAAGAAGCCAGTCCTTGGAACTGGCTCCCCTTCCCCAGCCTATGAGCCGAGGCAGTTCCTATCCAGGAACAAGTGGGTAACATCGTAGAGCTCCTGGGTAAAGTTCTGATGGAAAGGAGCCTGGGCCACAGCTGCTCGAATCCCCTAACATCCCCGTCTGGTGCCGAGGTGGTCATCTCAGAGTGGAGGAGCACGGGAGACCCTGGCAACTTCGAGGAGCCATGCCCCTGCTGTCACCTGGAAGAGCTTTAGGAGGGCATCTTCTGTCCTGGAGGCATTAGCGCCTGGAGGGCTGGCTGTGAACAAGGCAACTCCCACAGCGGCAAGATCCTTTGGATGTACCAGGCAAATACTTACAAGAAGAGGGCGTGCATCATAGAGTCAGGTGTGTCCACCCTTGGCCCAAGAGCCTTCTGCTTTCCTGGGTCAGCTAGGGCCTGGGGCTTGCAGGAAGAGCCTTGGGGAAGAATTGTGGTTTATGTGTGTAACAACCAGAAGAGATGGCTCCCTCCCTCCATCCTATGAGAAAGTCAGACTGACAGCTTATTTTTCGAGGCTGGATTGCTGAATTTCGAGTGCCAAGACACAGGTGGAGAGCACAGAGAAAGAATGAGTCGTGACATGCCGGGAGAAGTGGATCCCGGGAGACTGTAACTTGTACAATCTACATCTGGCTCAGAGACTGGGAGTCAGCAACATGGCGCCTCTTTGGGGCCAACAAGGTAAGGGAGAATAATTGAGGATTACCATTGTTCCTGGTTCCTGCGAGCTGGAGGAGAGGTCCTAAAGCATTAAGACACTACAGCCCCCAGACACAGTCTGGACAGACTAAGGGTCATCCACAGGCTACAAACCATTATGTGCAAAGGGCCCCCAATAGCAAACCCATTACACTGCATAACAGGGGCAAGTGTATACTCCACAGCAGAGCACGGAGTCCCACAGACATGGAACAGTGTATGTACTTCAGATTTTTTTGATATATTGATCAGCTTTACTGGGCTTTTTTCTCTTCCCCCTTGTTTTCTTTCTTTAAGAATATAATTTGTGGGGTGGCTAGGTGGGACAGTGGATAGGGCACCAACCCGGGATTCAGGAGGACCTGAGTTCAAATCTGGCCTCAGACACATAACACCTACCAGCTGTGTGACCCTGGGCAAGTCACTTAACCCCATTGCCTAACCAAAAAAAAAATATATATATATATATATATATATGTATATATAATTTGTTATATAGGATGGCTCCCTGGAAGGGTGGTATATGGGAAAAATTTTGGTAATGTAAAATCTAATTTTATTAATTTTTTTAAAGGTGTGAGAGTGTTAGGGTAATCAGTGGGACAACCTGATGGAAGGCTAGGGTCGGTCCCAGAACAAACTGTAGTCCATAACGGGTGACATAAGGAAAACTGTAAGGACATTTCCTCTCCTGTTCCCTTCCCAGATCTTGCACAGTAAGCAACCTAATAAAATCCCAGTAGTTATCTGGGCTAAGGCAGTCTGGACTAGGAAAGGAAGGGACAATACACAGAAAAGGGAGAGGTTGGGAAGGGGATGATGGTAGGAAGAACTGGCCATGCTGGGGGACGACAGCAGTTAGGACCTGGAGAAGAAACAAAGGTAAGAGGAGGAGGTGGGGAGATGCTGCGAGTTTATTTTGGTAAAATGAGAAAATATAATGTGAGTGAGTGTCAGGATGAGATTAGGATTATGGGCCCTGCCAGGCCAAGGGCAGTAATAGCTAACCCCTTTAAATGCATGTTTGTAAAGGGAGGAGATCAGGGCCCCTACGGAAGCCCACTCCACCTCTGCAATTAGGCTTAGAGAGCTGCCTGGGCCACCAAATTAGAATCATTGACTCCCCTGGTGTGGCCCAGTCCAGGCCTTGAAACCAAGCCTTCCTGGCCCCACAGAGGGCCCCTCTCCTCCACCCCACACTGCCTTGCCTGTCTGGCAAAGGCTTCCTTATAGATTAGTCTAGAAACTCTTTTTCAGAAGTAGATTTGACTGGGTAAATGCAACAAAGGAGACAAACTCCCAGGATAGAAGGGAGGATGGATGAATAAGTGCAACAAGGACTGAGTAATTCTAACAGTTTTACCCCCTTGAGTCCAACATACGTGTGAGTGGTTAAACTGAGGGTGGGAGGCCTGGATCTAGGATTCCATGGTCACAGGTGCCCTGCACCACAGCCTAGCAGCAGCAGCTAGACAATTCAAGGTCTTAGAGAGCTGCCAGGGACTGGCGTGTCCCAAGCAGGCCTGGAGCCCAGGTCTTCCTAATCCCGAGCTTCTGCCTCTGTTACCCACACATATATATAATAGGAAAACCTAACGGTGTGAGGTCATGGGTGAAGGGAGGGCTTGGGGGTGGGGGGGGGGGAATGGAGGTGGAAGAGAATCCCATGTAGGAACTAAATGAACCACACTGCCTCCATCTTCTGACTCATTCTGGAGCCAGCTCAGCTCTTTCTATTCAATGAGGGATCGAATCCAATTTCTGTCTCACAAGAAAACTTTATTCAATTATGGGAATTGTGAGAAAACTACTGTATTGCTTGCAGCTAGGCCTGTATGGCTGGGAAGCTGGACCACCTCCAGCTGTTGCTCAGAGACCCTGAACTAAGCACCTAGGTCATGCTGACCAGAAAACCAGGCAGAGCCAAAGATTGATGAGAGGAGTTTTCTCACAATTATACATCTCAAGCAGCCCATACGTCTTATCTGAAAACTTGCCCCACACTAATCAACCAGTTAGTTTGTATGTTCCTTTGATTGAATACAGACACTTGGGGGGTGGA